AAAAGACTGGGGGAGGACAGGCATAATAATATGAACATAACATATAAAATGAAGGGATTTTAAACATATTTTTTGTTGGGGAGGGAGGGGGGGGGGCATATCATATTCACCATGCGTGCTTTTGTTCAATAAATCCCTGGCTTTGTGTTCTCTTTTACTAGAGATAAAATTTTATTATAGATTAACAGCGCACGATAAAGCATAATTATGGCGCGTGTCCTATAATTGGAAAAGCAAGATCTGACTTCCGGATACTGAACCCGACGACCCGTTGCTACAGACGCTTCTTCCATCGAACTTCGATCCTCGCCGGAGCAAACGACATTCGGATTACGCACGACGAAGGATAATTGTCGACTCAGTATCAACAATTAATCGATCTATAACGACATTGTTTCTTTTGGGTCGTTACACTTAAAAGTGAACAGAAGCCGCAGGAGCAAGAAATGGGAGGGTCGCGGGAAGAGGCTTACGAAATAGGTTAAAAGCCTTCAGGAAATTGCGATCTTTGGTATTGTCTATTTAAGCATAAGCAGCGACTGTATGTCCCTTTTGATTTTCTCTAAATTTGATAAAATAAAGCTATGAAAATAATGGTGCCCGTGTAGTGTTGATTGGGTCGAAGGTTGTGTGGTAATTCGAACTACATGCACTGTCACTCTCTGAAAGAAAGGCATCCTAATTTTTGGAAAAGGGGGCGGGGCGGGGGCGGGGGCGGTGACAACAAAACGGAAATGATCTATTACAGTATGGAATAGATGGCTACGTGATTTTTAAATGAGAGAAGAGAGAGAGAGAGAGAGAGAGAGAGAGAGAGAGAGAGAGAGAGAGAGAGAGAGAGAGAGAGAGAGACGAAAAGCTTATAGTGCGGACGAAAAAAAAGCTACAAGGTAACGACAAGTTTAAAACTTTTATTGGTGGAATTCAACCCAAAGTGGCCAGGGTATGAAAAAAGGTTAGATGCCTATTTGTAGAATACGTAAGCCAACGTACTTTGTACATGTTTATTTGTGACCGGCTAAATTGAAACATGACAAGGTCTATGACGTAATTTGTGACCGCCTCCATTGAAACATGACATGGTCTATGACGTAATTTGTGACCCCTGCTGTGGGAACATCTCAAAGACTGGGACGTAACATTTTTGTGGTCTTACCTGCATACGGCGCTCATCTTTATTGGCTTTGGCCTGCTTCTGCATTTCCTTCATGGCCTCCCCAGTGAGCACAGTGTTCTGCTTGCCTTTGTTGGCCATGCTCACCTGTACACCAAAAGAAACACACGATTGACTTTAGCCAGACTCATATTTTTTAGGATTTATTTATAGCACAAATAAATAAACGAACAAACAAAAGAAATCACTTTTAAAAAAGCAAATCTATTTGATAATACATATAAATTGTGACAAACGGTTTTTAAATGGCGACATCTGCAGGTGCTAGTTGTTATACCCATCTGTACAGTGTACACACATTGAAATAGGCAACAGATAGTCAAAGTCATAACATACAATATCACAATTTCTTGTTTTTTTTAAAATATAATTCTTGTTTTCAGTGACAAGTTCAGAAGACAAAATATTGACCTTGAACAGTGACCTCAGAACAACGTGTATTATTGGTGGTCGCAATGGCATGGTCTGTTCCTTCTACTTCTTTTCGGCTTTTTTTTTTTTTAATTGACGAAATGTATTCATAATCATGCTGACCAAGGATAAAGTACAGTTCAGCGACTTGGGGCTATGCGGCTCTATGCCCCTTACAAATCTGCAATTACAACAAAAAAAACACTTTAAGTTTTTGCGTCACGAGACAGAAGCCATGCTGAGCCTCAGCGGAACGACCATGCATGTATATTATTCAAAACTATGTTGGTCACGACGCGACGGAATCAGGTGCTCGTCAATTTGGGGCTTGTTGGATTATTGGTATTACCTTAAAGCCCCTTTGTTTGTGTAGCTTTCACTGAAAAAGTATCCATCTATCTTGAATAAAAATCGAGGTATTTGCGACGGAATGAGATGGGGGGGGGGGGTTTACTTGGTATCAGGAGTAAAATTAGCGAAAAAATGAACGCCAAAGTTAGGAGACTTCCAAAGCTGTAGTTTCCTTGGAAACTGCAAGAAACTGCAAATTTACTTTTTTTTCTGTCTTTGATCAACGCTGTTGGTGGAGTTTTTTTCAGTAAATCCACAAAAAAGGTGTTGAGCCCAAAACAAAACAAAAAAGAATAGAAATTACCCAACGGCCTGGAAAGTATCAGTTTCTTCGATTTCATTATTTTGACTAGCGTCTAATTTCACCACGATGTATTCAAAACATAAATAATGAAATAAAGCTGGAATCTGTTTTGATATAAAAGGACAACAAACACATAGTTAAACATGTTGGCAATCGTGAATGATGAACATGTTTCACGTCTCCGTCCACAAAATCTAGATAATTTACGAGGAGGAGCTGCTTCTGCCCTGCGCTTGATGACAACCTGAGTACAATGGGAGTACACCGGCGTCTGCGGTTTAGCAGTTAGGAGCTTTACTGTCACAGGTAGAAGATCCGAGTTCGACTCTCGAGTGGGAAGATAATTTTTCTCGAGTATCTCGGTCTTTCTACTTGGGGGTGTCACTTTCAGCCCAGGTTGGCCCTGACAGGCAGGGTCGGAAGGCCGCCTCCTAAAAGACCTAAATTGTGTCGATTGTGGGGTGGGGGATACCTTAATTTAAAGAAAACAGAGGAGTGCGCTGACCAAGAAGGTCTGTTAAAGTTTACACCCGTTTCTAGGGAGATAGCGCCCTTCGTATTTGATGGGCCGATCTTATCGATTTCTCAGGCGGGAAAGGTGGGCGAAGGGTGGTAAGATCAAAGAGAAGACAACTACACTGAACCAATACCGTGGTTTTTGTTCTTTTTTGGTTTTCTTTTAGGCGGCTAAATATCACATCCGTTGATTCTAAACACTACGTTGTGTGTGGAATAAACAAGGTTTTAGAAGGACAAAGTTTTCTCTTTCAACATTTTGAATTAACTGTTCCTATTTTCATCTTCAAAGATAAGCTCACTCAAAATAGCACATTCGCGTTTATTTTAAACATTCCTTGTTTACGGAATTGAAAAGGCTTTTTAACAGAAAAAATGACCACTCTTCAAGAGTATCGACATATCTTTTTTTTTTTACTTGCTAAAACTTAAGCTTAGCTTTCAGTTTAGCAAAAGTTTTACGGAGCTTACAACAACATTAGATCATAATTGGAGCGCGGTACACAAGTTGGTTGTTTCCACGTTGGTTAAAATGTCTTGGTTTTTCTTTACAAAAGTGGTGGACATATCTAAAAATGGATAGCAAGAATTTTAGTTTTGAAAAAATAAAAAAACAACAGTGGTTTACTTTTATTTAATAATACAACCTGTATTTTGGAGCAAAGATCGGTTGTCTTTATATTTCGAGAATTCTGTTGGAATCAACGATTTAGCACAAATTCTTTAAATCAGTACATTCAAAATATTTCTTTCTGGGCTCTCCAAAGTCTAGACATTCTATTAGGAAGTGCTTGATTGCAAATATCGGCATTGCACCCTACACATATTTTTTCTTATCCCAGCCGCATAAATATAAGCGTCAGGGAGGCATTTTCACATTGCCGTCTGGTTAAAATAGCGTCTTCTCTCCCAGAAAGGCCCGAAGGTTTTCATGGGATCGAATTGGTATTATGGAGTTTATTGTTCATTTCTTCACTTCAGTATCCCTCCCACAGACAAGGGTGTATCTTTTGACCTCAACGTGTAAAGTCTGTATGCGGGAGGGTATTCTCCGTTGATCTCAATTGGATGGACAAAGATTCCTTATCTAGAAGATCGTCCTGCTTGTTTCCTTAGACGCGTATACGGCTAGCTAGTTATGCAATAAATAAAATATATTTTCCCTATTCAGTCAAGGTGTATAGAATTTCTTAACCTACTGGTGGTGATGGTGGAGGTGGTTGAGATGTTAAAAGTAGCAACATCATAATGGAAGGATGAAAGATATTATTATCCTATTTTAGTTCCTATCTCACCTTCGCGGGAGCTTTCTGGGCAGGCGTTTTCTTGCCGCTCTTCTCATCTTTGTTGTCCTCTTTCTCTGCATCTGGGGACGAAACAGGGGAGAAGGGTTGAATATACAGATGGTTAACTCACATATAGTTCCTCAACATGTGAGCTAACACATAAGCGTAAAGTGCAATGAACATTCTGGAAAATAATAAAAACTGCAAAGGAAACAATAAAAGGCCCCTTTGATAATTTCTGTTTTCGGGTCTCCAGGTGATCATCTTTTCCGTTTGAGAAAAAAGGGAAAAAACATAAAACCAAGAATATGACCAGACAAAGACAATGTACTATAAGATGGTTTACTCTGTAAAAACAGCGTTCGCGGCTATCTTTGCACAACATTATCCAAATGCCTTTTTGTCCTTGATATGATGTTAAATTAAAACTAAACTAAACCATAGTCGAGTACAATGAAAAGTGAATAATAAATGACCAAATAAAAGATGGGTGTAAAGAAAAGATAAGGAGTATGCTCGTTCGAAAACGTGTGCCTTTGTGGAACATGTAGAGCACCTTTATACGAGTCCGAAATAGCATAAAGACTGTCTTTGTTATCATATAACTGACGCCGAATGCTTTTACAGCCATCCGAAATATGAACATCTGAAAATGTCTTTTGTCCCAGTGTGTGAAGGGAGCACAGCAGATATTAACTTTGCAATAGAGGTGATGCAATTAGAATTATTGCTGAGCTTAGTTTCAATTAACTTGTTCAGCGGTAACTTTATGATCCCCTGAAGGAAGCGTAATATGCACACACACACACACACACACACACACACACACACACACACACACACACACTCAAATAAATACACTTTCCCTTATCAAAGATAAACATTGCCGTATCCCCCGGGTCGTTCACGGCTCACAATATGTTTACTTTGTCAGCAACGAGAAATGCGACACGCAAACTGCAAGCAGATGGTGCATTGGCTTCTATTTGCCACGCTAAGAATAAGATTTAGCACCATGAGTTAACATGGAATACAATGTTACCCTTTTTACTTTTTTTAAAGATGATTTTTAACGCCCTACCATACATGAATAAGTTATTCCTAAGGCAGTCCTCTGTTAATTCACGCGTGGGGGGAGGGGGGGAGTTGCGCCCACATCAACCCAATTTCGATCATTTCAGTCGGCTCGCTTCGACCCTGCCTGTCAGTGTCAGGCCCAACCTGGGCTGAGAGGGTTCACGACCTAACAAAAAGACGGAGGTATTCGATATAAATTCTACCCACACGGGATTCAAACTGGAGGTTTGTGCGTACGATAAGGGAGCACCTAGCCGCTATATCACAGACGCAAGCCCCGCACTCTGAAAAGACCAGGTCCTTTCGTTACAGATGGACACGAAATATGGCTTGATCATAAAAGACAACCTGAGTCGATTCTCATGAGGTGAGAATTTTTATAGAGTACTATATCAGTCTTTCTGCCGGGATGTTGCAATCACCCTCAGCCCGGCTTGACGCCGACAGACTGAATCGAAGCCTGCCTCCTAAATGATCTAGATTGTGAAGATGAGGGCGTAGAACACTTACATTTTTAAAAACAAATCTAAAACAACTACTTCGTATTATTCAAGTCAAGAAAATGGTTGTTTCCAAAATACTATCAAACTGTTTTTGAAAACTTAAATCCAGGCCTTTCAAGGCAAATATCTATACCACATCTTTGCCACAGACGATGCTACAAGTGACGGCTGTACACTAAAATAGCCTTAACAGTATTTTGATGTGAGAAAACACAGAAACAACATGATATACCTATACAAAGTGCGTATATTTTGTTCTATTCAGCTATATAGAACCAGCCCCGTGTGACGCCCAAGCTTTTGACGGAAACTGTAGTTGCCCTATGAAAGAGCCCAACAAGAGATACAAATCAGGGTAGAAAGAGCAGGTAAATGGCGAGTGCTCTGGAGTGGCTTGCTCCTACTTTTCTATCAAACATCTGACGTCCATATCTCTCCACCGTCTTTTCTTTGTATGTTACTCTTCAGTAACACCTCAAATCTTCCGCACTTATATGACCTTGTAATCTTCGGCACTGTGTGATCAAATTGTGTTGCAAGTGCCGTACAATTTTTACTACAACTAAAAACTGCGAAAGAGAAAGACCTGCTGACAAAACACTCAGACTATAAATACCAAAAAAATAGCACGTCAACCTTATTAATCAAAATGAAAAAGTCTCGTAACATGTTATCAAATACTGGTAAATGACTTGGGCCCTTTTCAGGAAATCGCTGCCTCACATTTATTATTACTTTCGGCATTGATTGGACTCTCTTTTGGAGTGAGAAGCTATTGATACATGGAAACAAGAAAAGGGGGAATGAAAGAATCAAGAAAAACCTGTTTCTAAGAAATGCTCGCTATGATCAGAAACATGTTCACAAGCAGAAAGCAAAAAAGTCGGCATACATGTTGATTGACAGACAAATATTTTTTTTCAAAAATGGCGAACAACATTCCTCTCCGTTTATAGCATGTGTACTAGATTACACAGAGCCTTCTGCTTACACTAATGCTCATTATGCTGTGGCTTGCTCCCACATTTCTCCAGTGTTACTGCTATACCATTCTATTGCAGGCGAAATACGACCGTAGTCAACTACACAAGAGTTATTGGTACTAATTCCCATATCTATGCCCACCACTACAGATCAATAAAGCCACATAAATAAAGTGAGTCGATCTTCTACCAGTCGACAGTTTTTCATATACGAGCTATAGACATATGAGCCTATGTTATCTGACAGTTTCAAGTACCCTCAACAAGAACTTTTCAAAAGGTGGCACCGGTTAAGGGGGGAAGAAATAATCATTGAGCAATTCGAGAGGGAACGCTCTCAATAGAATGTCGGGTTACTGGGGACGTCAAGTAGGGGGAAAGGGCTTACAATGGTGAAAAGACTAAGCACAAACTAATCCAGGGCGTAGCGGAGTGGGCTTAATGAAAAGAAGTTGTAACCCCCAAACAGACACTTCCAAATCTCGTGGTTTGGGTAAAGACTTAGTAGAATAATATGTGAGGCAGCGTAGTGAAATCAGGCGCTCGTCAAAATAATCAAAGTGAAGAACCAAGCATTTTTCCGCAGGATTGTGAATTTTGGTCGAATTTTTTGTGTTCTTAGGCTCAACACCTGTCAGGCCCCTTAAAGAACACATTTTTGTGTAGTTTTTTTACTGAAAAACAAAAATGTAAGTGTTCGGTTCCCTGGACCCTCAGGCTGAGGAAATGACTTATCTTTGGTGGCTGTTTTCTCAGTATTTTTACCAGATGACCCGCACTTCCTTCATTAGCAAATATCTCGACTTGTGTTCAAGATATAAGGAGATTTTTTTTCATCCAAAGCAAGACAAATGGACAGGCTTTAAGATGATACCAATAATTCTACATGCCCAAAAATTGACGAAAGCTGATTACACCGTGTCGTGACACATTATTATGTTGATCGTTTGTTCCACAAACCTTTAGCCGTCTGGCTGTGTTTGATTTGGGGCGGGTGGTAGGGGTGGGGGAGATTGGTTGTTTTTTGGCTGTGCTACCTACTTTATTCGGTTTTGTTTGGTTTTGTTTTGTTTTGTTTTGAGGGAGTTGTTGTTGTGGGTTGGGATTTTTTTTCAGTTCTATGTCAAGTCTATATTTTTCAGTTTGAGCACTGTTTCTTATTACACCTGCATTGCTGTTGATACCTTTGTTATTTTGTTGTCTAACTGTTGCCCTTGTTGTGTGTGTTGTAATAATATCATTGTTGTTGCTGTCTTTGTGTTATTGCTGCTGCTGTTACAGTTGTTGTTGTTGTTGTTGCTGTTGTTGCTGCTGCTGTTGTTGTTGTTTTTGTTGTTTTTGTTATCGTTGTTGTTTTTGCTGTTGTTGTTGTTGCTGTTGTTGTTTCAATTGTTGTTGTTGTTGATGATGTTGTTATTGTTGTTGTTTCTATTGTTGTTGTTGTTGGTGGTGGTGGTGGTGGTGATGTTGTTGTAGTTGCTCTTGCTGTTGCTGTTGTTGCTGTTGTGAATGTGGTTTACGTACTCTCCTCCCACCCTCCAGTTCCTGCTTTTCCTCCTCCTCTTCCTCCTCTTCGTCATCCTCCTCCTACTCCTACTCCCCCTCCTCCTCCTCCTTCTCCTCCGCCTCCTCCTCCTCCTGCTCATCATCATCATCATCATCATCATCATCATCATCATCATCATTATCATCATCATCATAAAATATATAGTACTACTCCTTGAAACTCACTAAAATAACCTTTCCTGTGCATGGGATATGGTTCATTTCTGTGTGCAATATAGACAGACAGACAGACAGACAGACAGACAGACAGACAGACAGACAGACAGACAGA